CAACAGGCTCTTCGAATTCTTCTGCACCCAGCACGGCAGCTGCATCTGCTCCCTCTGCCTCCTGGGGCACAAGCTGTGTCACACCAGTCCCCTGCAGCAGGCCAAAGCCAACGCTGAGGTGAGCAGCAGGGGCGGCCGGCTCTGTTTGGAGCTGGAGCATCCTCCGAGGGGCACTCCCGAGCTCCCCTTTGCTCCCCTGGGGCCTGGTGGGTTCCTGGGTGCTGGGGTTGTGGGTTGTGGAGTGCCAGGGGGAGGCTGGACCAAGTCTTGGACTGAAAATCTCATGCCTGGCCTTGGCAAACAGTTATCTGCCCTCCGACACGTGCTCGAGCACGTCTTCAGAGTCATTCCTTGCGTTTTCCTCCTCTCTCCAAGACAGTGCTGCAGGTCTTGGGCTGGGCTGGCCACCATTGCTTCGCCCCACTGTGGGTGTCACCTGCAACCCTGAGCCTCCTCTGCTGCTCACTGCATGGGCTTCGCCTGCGTGGCCTTACCACGGGCTGGCAGAGGGCCTGTAGACAGACATTGCTCTCTGTGTGTTCTTAAGAAGCAAGGAATTACAGAAGTAGCCTAGAGAGATCTCTAGCATGTAGGTAAATTCCAGGAGCAGGTTCTCCACAGAGTGGAAGGAAACCTGATCTTGCAGCACAGCTGAAAATCGGAGGGTAGGTGAGTAAAGGATGCTTGGAAATTTTAGGTGCCCAAGTTTAGGTGCTGTCAGTTCGCTAAGTATGTATACTGTTTACCCTTAGAAGTCCTCCCTGATTTAGCTTAGCAGCATCTTGAACTAAAGGAATAGGTAATTCACATCAGAGTGATAAAATTCTCAAAAAAAAAAGAGAGGGGTGAACAGTAGCATTAACCCAGTGCCCAAAGTCCAACCTGAGAGCTAACACAAAGTTTATTATTAGCACTGGGAATCACTGTGCTGACGAAAACACTCGGTCCTTATCAAGAGAGTGAGTCAACAGTGTGCATCTTGCTGCTGGGAAGAGGTGGAGGTGCTGGCTCCAAGCACCACACATGCAGGAGAGTACTTTTACATCCTGTAAGATTTAAGGAGCAGTAGATTTTAAACCAATGCTTACAATGGTTATTTAAAACTTTCTGTAAATATTCTTACTCCGGTAAGCATGACCCAACTAGTGCAGACATGGCAACTGCTTCTCTGAAATACTTTCTTATCTCTTCTGTTGCAGTCGGTGCTGAAGAAGAAGCTGGTGGAGCTGCATAATCAGAGTGAAAAAACTGCTCGGGCGATGAACACTGCAAAAACAAAACAAAGCCAGGCTGCTGTAAGTGGGTAACTGTTCAAAATGCTCTCAGGTTGCGTGGCATACGCTGGCCACTGCACGTTGTAGGTGTTTGTACCCTTGTGACAACAGCTGTGATACTGAGATTGCATTGCCAGGAGAAGGCGCTGTTGGGAAGGAACAGAAAAGAGGTGTTTTGGCAGGGCCAGCAGCTCCGTGGGAGATGCGAGTAAACCAACCACCGTGCAAGGGTTTTATAGCCACATGTAACAGGGCTCAAACCTGTCCTTTCTGTTACACCAGAAACTGTGTACCTGTGCAGCCCAAACTAAAGGATTCGTGAGCTGTAACGGCTGCACCAGTGCAGGAATTGGGGATGGCTCTTCCCCATAAATTACCACAACTAATCCCTGCTTTTAGCTGATTATTGCGGTTGCTGTTTGTGCCAACGGCTGGATGGGGTACAGCTCACTTGTACCATCCTTTCTGAACTGAGTGGTAGAGATGAATGAACTGAAAAGCTGCTGGTGTAGCACTTTTGTGCTTCTATGAAACATCTCTCGGGGGATCAGGAATTACTTTATTAACCAGAGGTGCCATGTTTCGGAGGCAGAAGCAGAAAAGTGGGTGTGCAGTGTCTGAGCTCGCAGTGCTAGTACCCGGTAGATGGCACCACGGGCCTGGCCTCTGCCCAGCAGCCCCCGCAGCAGAGGTCTGGAGGCTGACAACTGGCCTGATACCTTTGGAGTAAATGAGTTTTCTTTCCAAACTACATAGAAATACATAGTTTTCCTATTGCCTACTTCGAGTAATTGAAGCTTATATATGCCTCAAAGGCTTGGGTTTTTCTTGTTTTAGTAAGCAGTACTTTGTCCACCAACTGTTCTTTTGACACTTTTTTTTCCTTTGGTCTGTTCTTGTCTGCTTCAGGAGGCAGCTTCCAGAAAGAAAGATCTGATCAAAAGTGAGTTTTCAGAAATAAAAACTTTAATTGAAGAAAGAGAAAATCAGGCCTTTAAAGTAATTACAGAAGAAGAAAAAAGAGTTTGCAATAAATTTGATTATGTTTATGGTGTTCTGGGAAGTAAGAAGAATGAAATTCAGTCTCTCAGAGATCAGATTGAGATGGCACTAACTGAAGTTGATGACGTTCTGTTTTTGAAGGTAATGCGTCCTTTAAATGTGAATCAAATTCTTCATGTTTCCAGAATGCAGACTCCCCAAAACCTGCTGTGGTAGCCCTGCTCTCCAGACACTTTCAGTCAAATGGTGATGCAGTTGTGTGCAAGAACCTGCTCTGAAAGGATTTACTCATAAATACACGAATATCAGCAGAAGAGTGCTGAAATGGTGTCTGGTTACTCGCCCAAAATTCAACCACTACCTCTGCTGCAAGCAGAGGGCCAGGAGTAAGCGAATTCATCTCCATGAGGTGCTGCAGCTCCATGCTGTGATGCCATCTAGCAGAGCTTTCTCTGCTTTGAATACCAGTTGAGAATTAATGCATGTGGGTTGCTGCTAAAATTTTGCCCTGGGTCATGTCTGACTGTAGCCTTTACTCCTTTGAATTTGAGAAGAATGCACAAAACCCATCCAATTTAAAGTAACTTGGTTGTGTTTTTATGCGTCTGCTACACAAGGTGGTCTGCATGAGCTCTTCTATTTGTCATTTCAGAGAGCAGCAGCACTGCAACGAATGTCAATGAAAGACGCTTTTGTTCCTGTAATTGAAATGGACCAAAATGTGATACATTCCGCTTACCAGTCTGCCATTAACCTTAAAGACATCGTGAAACTTTCAGTGACTCAGAATGTGGAGAAAAAAGTGGAAGGTACTGTGTCACTGGGAGAATCACAGAATGTTAGGAGTTGGAAGGGATCTCAAAAGCTCCCCCAGTCCAACCCCTCTACCAGAGCAGGATCACCAGACCAGGTCACACAGGAACACGTCCAGGCGGCTTTTGAGTATCTCCAGAGAAGGAGACTCCACAACCTCTCTGGGCAGCCTGGGCCATGCTCTGTCACCGTCACAGTAAAGAAGTTTTTCCTTATGTTCAGATTGAACCTCCTATGCTCCAGCTTGCACCCATTGCCCCTTGTCCTGTCATTGGACATCACAGAGCAGAGCCTGGCTCCTTCCTCCTGACACTCGCCTTTACAGATTTATAAACATTAATGAGGTCACCCCTCAGTCTCCTCTTCTCCAAGCTAAAGAGACCCAGCTCCCTCAGTTGCTCCTCATAAGGGAGATGCTCCACTCCCTCAATCATCTTTGTGGCTCTGCTGGACTCTTTCAAGCTGTTCCTGTCCTTCTTGAACTGAGGGGCCCAGAACTGGACACAATGTTCCAAATGTGGTCTTACCAGGGCAGAGTAGAGGGGAAGGAGAACCTGTCTTGACCTACTAACCACCCCCTTCTAATACACCCCAGGATGCCATTTGCCTTCTTGGCTACCAGGGCACATTGCTGGCTCATGGTTGTCTGCTGTAGGACCCCCAGGTCCCTTTCCGCTGTGCCGTTCCCCAACAGGTCAGTCTTTAACTTACACTAACACATGGGGTTGTTCTTTCCCAGATGCAAGACTACACTTGCCCTTGTTGAATTTCATTAAATTTTTCCCTGCCCAACTCTCCAGCCTCACCATGTTGAAATGGTATTTTCTGCCTTGGCTTTGAGCTTAAATGAGGGATCTTCCTCTTCCAATCCAAATATAATTAAAAAAAATAGTGCAGCAAATACAGTTGGCTATTGTAAATTGTGTCTTCCAACTTCTGTGGTCCTCTGTTTCCACACAGAAGTGCCACAGTCTGTGCTAAACTAGAGAAAAAACATGTCAGTGACCCTTCACTTTTCTCTGTACTTGGATAGGCTGATGAATATTGTGATAGTATGCCCTTCTGGCACAGCTCAGCCTTTGTTCCTCACAGTACTTTATGTTTTTATTATGTAGCAGGGTTGGATGCAGTTAGGATGTGGATTTGAAGGTAGACATAAAACACTTCAGAGTGATGGGACTATGGTTAACCAACTGTAATGGCATTGACTGTGTAAGTGCTGTAGGTCAAAGCCCTGCTTCCCAGCTTAATCAGAAGTATCTTTTGGACTGGGACATGGCTGTCTTCTCTGCAGTTTCTGTCTCTGCTGAGTACCACTTAAGTTCTGTTCATATGACTGTAAAATAAGATTGAAAAATGCCCATGCTCGTGGATTATTGTTCCTGCCAATACAAACCATAATGTAAAATATCAACATTGCAGCAAAAGTGACACCTGGGAAAACTAAGGCCACTCCAGCGGCTGCTTCAAGCAAAGCGGTTGGGAAAAAGGCTGCGGCACGTAAGTACTAAAGAACATCATCCTCTCCCAACTGTGGCTTTACCCTTAAAGAAGAATTCAAGCAGCTACCCAAGAGCTGTTCCTGTACTGGTGATGCAGTGATTATCTGTAGTGGCATGGGAAAGGGAAGGCATTTTGAGCTATTTAGTGGTGGGTGCCCTGTGAGGTGTAAAGCAGCAATCTGTGTGGGTGCGTTAGCCTTGGTGTGCGCCTGTGGTGGTGTCAGTGCAGGCTGCACAGCAAAGCAGAGCCTCTCCACCCTCTTGTTCTTGCAGTGTTATTTTTTTCCCACTTCTACAAAACATCTCTTCCTTTGATGGATTTTTATGTTTTGAATCCTGTGTATGAACTGTTCATGTTCTGGTTGGTTGTTTTTTTATTTCCCCCTCTCACAAGAGCGTACCCACAAAGATAAAACCCTTCAGCAGGCTCAAGCCACTTCGCAGGCGGAGGAAGATACCAGTAAGTGGTGATGAATGCTGGTGCTACTCAAACATTTTGCTGGCCATGTCTCACTACAGTCTAAGGCTGGGGTGATGGAGACAGTCTTTGTGGCAGGTTATACTGGGGCCTTTCAGTGCTGTTTTGTGCAGATACTGGTATTAATGTGGCATTCTAGCCTGTCTGGAAGATCTTCCATATTCTCTTTTTGAAAAAAGTCCAGGTGTTAGGAAACTACTTCTGTTACTTCCACTCAGCTCTTGACACGTGGTCCTGGAGTCTGTTTGGGCTGCTGGGGTTGAATGGACTTGTCGCTCCTGTTGCTGCACTGGAAGGTCTGTTGTAAAAAGAAAAGGAACAGTCTGTGTGCCTCATTGGAACGGGCTTATCACCACTTGCCCCTAACATTGCATCCTGGAGTAGAGATGAAGCTCCTTCCAGGCTCGTGATCCTGTAAAATAGGAAGCAAATGGTACGCTGTGCTTCATGTGCAGCTTTCCAGTGTGGCTGTATTGGTACCTGGCTTCAACATGCTGGATTCTCAGCTTTACCTACTGCTGCAGCTCCAGAAGAGCCATGATGATGGTGTTGCAGGTGGCATAGTCCATCAGTGGCTTTTCAATCTCAGTAGAACTCACAGTTCACTTTTCTTTTTTTTTTTTCCAGAGGAGAAAAATAAACCTGTTACAGTTGGTGAGTCCAAACTTTCAGCATACTTATTCTAATTTTCATTGACTGCTCTTAAAATGATAAGTAGATGGTCACCAGTGTTGGTTTATTCAGTTGTTGCTCTGAGAAAGCTCTTCCTAGTCACAGTGAGAGCATCGAGCACTGAAAGAAGTGGATTTTCAAAACTTGACAAGACCATGAGCAACCTGAGCTAATGAAGTTAATGCTGAAGTTAACCCTGCGTGGAGCAGGAGGCTGACCCAGATAACCTTGAGGCCCGCTCCACCTGAGGGTGTCTGTGATGCTGTGCTGAGCACGCAGGGTATCTTCCCAACCAGCCAAACTCTCTTTTCTTCTGTTGGTACAGCACCAACCACAGAAACACCAAATGCTGCGGCTGCTGCTTCAACTAAAGAGCTTCTGGAGAGCTTCCTGAAGAAATCCAGAGAGGAGCTTTTGCAGTGTAAGACACCCACCGTTACACTACTTAACAATGAACTTTCTGCACTGCTCTGGTGTTACGTGCTCTCTGTAATTACCTGACAAAAATACTTTTGAGGGGGTTTAGTTAGGTTAATAGGTTGTCAGCTGGTTGTTACAAATGAAGGAAATTTTTGAAGGAAAAGAGGGCAGGAGGTTTCTAAGTGGTTCTTTTGCCAGATGAATCAAATTTATCTTCTGTATTCACATATCATTACAAAGGTAAATGAACTTTTCTCAGGAATGGCTTTGTTTTCCCCCAAAACGACTGCATCAGGATAGCCTAGAAATATGATGTAATGCACTGTATTTTTCTTTGAAATGAAATGCAGGCTTTTATGTGAGCCCATGATGGCTTGCTTAAGATGCTATATGGTCTAGTATACCTTTTGCTGCTAGATCAGCAATCCCCTTCTTCTGCCAGCATGTCTTTGGGTGGTGAAGGAATCCCATGGGGATGAAGGAAGGAAGGAAACTCGCCCTCCATTTGCCTCCTGTGTAACCCAGAGCTGCAGCTGAACGCAGCAGCTATTACCGTGGCCCTGAGAACTGCCTGCACTGTGAGGGAGAGCAGAGCAAGGAGATAAACGCACATAGCAACAAGTGCCTAGGCAGGACAGTATAAACTGAAGTGCTTGCTCTTCAGTACCTTCAAACGATTCGTGTCATTGCAGATGCTGCTTACATCACGCTGGATTTCAACACGGCTCATAACAAAGTGCTTTTGTCTGAGAGATACACCAGGATGTCTGTCTCGGACATCCCCATGGATTACAACCACCACCCGCAGCGCTTCACCGACTGTTCCCAAGTGCTGGGGTTCCAGTGCTTCAAGAGAGGCGTCCACTACTGGGAAGTGGAGCTGCAACAAAACAGCTTCTGTGGCATCGGCATCTGCTACGGCAGCATGAAGCGGCAGGGGCCAGAGAGCCGCCTGGGGAGGAACAGCAGTTCTTGGTGTATTGAATGGTTTAATTCCAAAATATCATCCTGGCACAATGATGTTGAGAAGTGCTTACCCAATGTGAAGACTAGTAAGATTGGTGTGCTGCTGCACTGTGAGGGAGGGTTTGTGATTTTCATGGCTGTTGGGGAGAAGCATAACTTGATCTATAAATTCAAAACCCAGTTTACTGAAGCCTTGTACCCTGCTTTCTGGTTGTTTTCCAGTGGCACCGTTCTCTCTCTCTGCCAGATGAAACAGTAAGGTGGTGTTGCGCCTGAACCCTGTACGTCAGGGTTGCTATTAGCTGCCTGGAGCCTGATTGCTCTAGGGCTGTCAGGATGCAGGCTGCAACAACTAACCACAATAGAGCAACTAACCACAGGATGGTGATTTTGAATACACTGATTAGCTGCACATAGGTAACATTGTCTTTATAAGGCTGTACCCTGTCGGAGGCAGAGATAAGGTTCACTGGTGCGGTGAGTCCTTCCCGGGTAAAGATATTTGATCATATTCCTAATCTCCTATCTGCTATAAGGGGTATGATGCATTGCATAAATTAGCACTATGTCATAGTTATATTCATGTAATGGTAATTGTGGTGTTACTCATGTCTTAACTGTAATAGTTTACCTATTAATAGCAGGTGTTAAGTGTCATTATTCTGTTAATTCAAGACTATTCAGATGATCAGTCGCTGAGAGTCACATCTCTCATTGAAGACTTAAAGAAAATGAGAATTGAGTAATGACCTTACAGGGAGTTGACTGGGTTTTGAGGGCACCAGTTGGGCCTCGGATATTGGCCCTTTTGATTTTGCTGAATCGGTTGCTCTTCAGATTTTGGGTGGACCAAATTTGACAATTTTTGAAAGAAATACAACAATCAGATGGGGTGAAAGTAATTCGGGTGAGAGGGATCAGTGTGCTGGGCTGGATGCTGTTATAACCCGGCCCTGAACTGTTCTGTCTTCCTTTTCTGAAATCTAACCAACGCGATCCCCATTTGTATTGGATTGTGACAGGTCTTAGATCTTAATGTAGTTTGCTTATGTACTTGCATACAAGTAATCAGTCCTACAGCAAATCATCTTTGTATGTCTTAGGCTAACAAGTCTCAAAGGTGGTTTGTTTGAGACAGAAATTATTAGCTCTTTTAAGTGATTTGGGATATCTGCTGGTTTTTTTGGTCTGAGTTGCTAACGCCTTTAGATAGTGGTTTAGTAAAATGTTGATGATAGTAAAAACTACAATGAAAGCTTTTGCAAAGGCCTCGATGGTCCTTCTAAAAGTGAAGTTACGATACAATCAGTTGCTAAACATTTTCAGTAGCTGCTGTGGCTTCTGTGGTTTGCTGTAAAGGTTACCCAGAATTAATTTTCAGGTCTAAACGTGTTTCACAGGTAGCCAGAACCCCTTTGAGAAAGAAACAGAAAGAATTCCTTGACAAATTCAGATTCCAAGCTTTGAGTGCTGCCATTCTCTCTATAGGCAGCCTGTTGCCCATAGTCAGAATTTGCAGTACATGTGTTCTCAGTGTGTGACTCCATGAGATGTTACAGAATGAACTATTAACATCAGTAAGTTCAGGTCTTATGATGTTAAGTTACGAAAGCCAATATGACAAATCTCATCAGAATGGAAATGCAGAGACCTTTAAGGCTGATGGATAAGAAGTGGTGTCAGAGTCACCGGGAAATAAATGACGTGAATTCAGTGACTGAATATGCAGGGAGTCTTCAGGAAGCCATCCTGCAGAGCAGTAGTGTGCACTCTGTAATAACAGTTTGTGGGATGAAACATCCTGTCTCATGCTCTGACCCTGAAGGTGCTTCACATCTTCATATTGAAGGCTTTTCAGGTTTTTTTTTGTGTGTGTGGAGGAGTTCAGGGAGTACATTTTTGGCTTGCACAGGGAACATAAATGTGCTCTTCACTCAAAGCAGGGTCTCCTGTCATAAAGCTTTTCCTCTTCGTGTGGCGGAGTGTCCTCTGCTGGTGTACCTTTAGTTGTTCAGGTGGGAGAAACTGGATTTCCTACATGTTACTGGGACTCTGATTTGAGGAGTCTCAGGACAGTGTGCACAGTACTTAGAAAATGCTGTTTCCTTTCTGCATGAAGCCTGTGGGCAGACAAGTGAGTCTTTTGAAGCATACAGGGAATTAGCACAAAGGAGAGTATCTTTCCATTCCCACTGGCATGGATTTTTAATTCTCCTGGTGTTCTTTGCTTTGGGTTGTGGTATCTCTTCAGAAGTCCTCACCATGTACAAAGGAGTCTGTACATCTGCATTTTTTACTTAAAACTTTAACACAATCAGTAGGCAATCAAGGTACTTGGATCTCATAGTTATTGGGCCTGTATCTTGGTGATGCCTCTGGATTTACCATACTAGTTCTTATTTCCTGTAGTAGCCCATGAAGAACAGGGAAGCTCACACAGGAGCCTTCCTGGACTTGGATTTGTGAAACTCCCCCTTATGGACCTTGATAAAATAAACCACAGAGCTGCTGCTGGCAGTTCAGCAGAAAAAAAGAACCTCTGTGACTCCATCCACAGCAGCAAAAGTGCTTTAGAGAAAGACTTGCAGGAATTCAGGCTTGGTGTCTCTATTTTTACTTGGTCTGTGAACCCTTAGTACTTTGTCAAGGATAGTGTAAGTCTGATAAGATGCTTCCATTTCTGTGGCCAGAATAGAATATGGAATTGATGATGGACCTACAAGTGCCATGGCTGTCTTTGGAGTAGTTATCCTATCTCGAGGGTCTTGGTTTTCCAAGGCACAGTCAGCACTGAAACTACCAAACCAGGCAGAACACTCCAAAAAGTGTAGAAGAAGGATGTGTCCTGCCAGGAGCCAACAGTGAATACAGAACTCTCCTCTCGGCACTTCCAGTTTTTCAGCAGTGAGGGACAAGAGCAGTTTCCTCTGAGAAATCCTGTCCCTGTACCTGCTTGACTGTGCCACGAGGCTGCAGAACCACTCTGTTGGGTGCTGATGGGGTGCTCTGGCCCCTTGTTCATGGGGAAGAAAAGTGCTCCAGTGGTTTGTGCAGTGCAGGTCCACATTTTCTATTGCTTGCTTCTTGACTTTAAATGGGTGTTAATGTTAACCTCTAAGTCTATGGGCTTCTTTAGCCTTAGCCTGGATGGATACTCAGGCAAAGTAAAGAGCAACTCTCATTCTGCCACGTTGGAGAAGGTTGGAATCTTTTAAATGTGACATTGGTGTGGGACCAACAGGACATAACATACAAGGTGTTCTGGATTACCACAGGCAGTGAAACAAACCTGCCATGGTATTCATGATTCTCTTTTTTGTTTGTTTTCTTTTGTGCTATGAATGACTGGAAATGATAAAATGAGTTTCTGCTGATTTGGGATTAATTGAGAAATGCCTAACTGCATCGCTGCATTTCTGAGAACTGTTACTGTGGTTAGCTTCAGATATCTTGGATATATCAAAACACTGGGGTGATATAGCATTAGAAAAAAATACTAGTTAGTTACAGCATGATAAATAATGGTTCAAAAGCTGCTTCAGCACTACTGAAATGTTTTTACTCTGCCCATAACTATCATCAGAACTGTACTGGTTTTAACCAAAGTGCAGTCACAAGCATGTGTTTTAATTATACTTCTCTCTTCAACACTATAGGACCCCAACTTATCCAGTCTAGAGAAAGAAGTAATTCTGCTGTTACTAAAGCTATGAGGATGTGGAATGATTTGCATATTAATGTACAAGTGAAAGTAAATGGAGCAACACCCTCTGAAAATATACTAATCTGTTACATTTAATCTTTTCTTCAATGAAACATCAGTAAAATACTGCAGTTAGAAAAGTAAATGCTTACATGATTATAAACCTGTTGGCTATACTGATATATCAGCGTGATATATCAGCCGTGTACTTCAGTATGCAAACTATATGTTATTCATAAAGATATGCCAGCTAGACACCCTTGTCAGGGCTATAGACATAGATTTTATGGAATCAGTTTTATGCCTGTGCCTGTATCAGTTGAATGCTGTTGATCTTTTCAGCTATAAAGTGAATCAGTTCTGATATTTTAATTTCAATAAATATTCATGGTAAACCCTAACTCTGGATGCGTTGTTCTGTGCTCAAAGTTGAAGCAAGCAGTAAGGCAAGCAGAAATAAAGATGCTGTAGTGTACAACTAACAGCTCTTCTACTGCATAACATGTTGAATTATAGGAGAGCTGGGGAAGAGAGAAAAAGAGAGCTGTGTAGGCTGTGGTATCCTCTGTATCCTAAATTACCTCATCCATCTGAGCTACACACCCTTTGCCAGTAACGCTGCACCCTATCCAGTAAACAAAACTGGAGACTTTTTTTGATGAACGAAAACATGTTCATCAGCTGGAGGAAAATTAACAACTAATGACTTGGTACGTGCAATGGGACTGCTTAAAAAAGCATTAGGTGATGCCCAGCATCTGCCAGCTTAAGTTACATCTGGAAGCAGCAATGGGTTTTTCCTAATATTCCTCAGCAAAATCAAACTAAAGAGCTTGTGGTTTGCAAGGTGCTGCCTCCCCATGAGGCCAGTGGGAAGCAGCTCACCAGGGAGCTGCTCTGGTGCCACAAGAGACTTTTAAAAATGAGCCAAAACAAAGGCACCCACAAAATGAGTTAAAAACTGACTTTTCCATTTAAAGTTCTCCAAGTGAGTTAGGCTGATGAAGGTTTTGGGGAATAAACTCTGTGAAGAGTTCCCAGAGAGTCAGACAATAGTATTGCGTGATCAGCGTGGCAGGCAGAGCTAGGAAAACAAAAATTCTCATCTTCACTAAGAACTTGTCCCGTGATGCCCCTTAGGTTTGCCAGAGTTTGGCCTCTGTTTCCAAAGCCAGACAAGTGGATCTCTTGAGCCTGCATAAACTTGACTGTGACTTCAGCGTGGGTCTTGAGCAGGCCCAGAGAAGTTGGCATGCTCGTTACTACACAAGGGCTGTTTTCTTACCTGCTAATGTAATTTCCTCCTGATTTGGCTTTGTGATCACTTTTTTTCACAGCAAAAGGAACAGCAGACTTGGTCTGCAAATCATATTCTCGGGGAATGTAAGTGAAGATGTTTATCAGGATGTTTCCTAAAACTTCTTTCTCTTCCTAAAATAAACCAGTGTTCAACAGGCTGTGTTTCTATACCCAGTTCTCTGACTCCCTCTCATCTCTCCCTGCCTTCCCAATTCCCTCCCACTTGAGTGGCTGCTACTTCTCAAATAATCACTATG